GAGGACACTTGGATTATAAAATCTCTAAGATGTAAGCAAAGTAAAGGGTGCTTCCTAGAATTAGGGGCAAGTAAAATGATGGTAAACTCAGGGGATACTCAGGTATAGTCAATATAGTAAATCAACAGAACATTCTAGTGATGGTGAAGCACTAGCACTTTTACACGGAGGCAACGAAGGTGAGGCTGGGTCTCACTGACTCCAAAACCTGACTCCAGGCTGATGGGGTGGTCAGCTCCTGCTGGATTCCTCCTTGGCTATCCACAGAACTTGAGGACAATGTGACATGCCTCCCAGACACTGTCTCCTACATCCCTTCTGCTTTGTAGTCAGCTTCGTCCTGCCATGGGAGGGTCTTACTGAGATGATTCTAGCTGAAGACAATTTTATCTGTCTGGTGCTAAAGAGAGCCTGGGAAGGGGATATCACTTCCTTAGAATGCCTGCTCCATGGAGACAGGGAGGTTTGGTGCTTCCTCTGTCCTCTGTCATGTCTGTGCCCAGCACGTGGTAAGTTCCCAGTAAGTCTATGATGATGAATGAATGATTGGATGAGACCCAGAAAGCACGCTCCTTGACCTTTAAAAGACCTCCCCCTGGTTGGCAAGACTTCCTAAGTTGGTCAAGTAGACCTTTACCTCCTCTGTGGCTCTCCACTTCCTGCTCCCTCATGGCTCTGACTTTGGCCTCTGACCGAGACATGGATTTCTACAGCTCAGACCACTTTCCATTCCCACATCCAATGCTGATTCTGGCTTTTCCCATAATTTCAGTCTCACATCCTGTTCTGGTTCTGATCTCTATTACCTTGAGTCCTAAATTTCTGGTTTTAGTTTTACTGCCACAGGTTCCTGTGGCTGCTGTAACAAATTACCAAAATGTTAGTGGCTGAAAACAGCACAGATTTATTATCCTATAGTTCTGGAGGTCAGAATTCTGAAATGCATCTTAAGGGATTAAGATCAAGATGTCAGCAGAGCTGCATTCCTTTCTGCAGACTTTAGGAGGGAATCCATTCCTTGCCTCTTCTATTGAATGTGGTTGAAAAGGTTTTTTCTGATGGGTTTGAGGAGCACAATGTCATTTCCTGGATGTTGTGGTCCTAAGATTTGCCCCACTAACCTGACAATAGGACTTTGGAGTTCTAAAGAGCTAGAAAAATCTCTAAGGTCAAATGCAAAAGTTTGAGAGTCTTTATCTTGAACTCCCATTGATTATAATTATCTTTGAGCAGCAGCCACTGCAGAGAATGGAAGAATATTTATGGCTGGGGATGGCTGATTGAATAAAGTAGTATAGGATTCTGAGCAGAGGCAGTCAGATTTGGCTAACAGTGCAAGAAAATAAAGCACCCTGGAAGCCCACTTCCTCTCCTCGTCCTTATTTTGCTGCAACTTACAGGTAGCCCTGTCCTGCCTCCACATGAACCCTTATGGTCCCTATTCAAAGCACAGGATGTGGCATTGGTCCTCTCAGGAGCAGCCTAACGATGGTCAGGAGCTATTGCTGACCCGCCCTTGTTGCTGGGCTGGCCCCAGCTGTGGCTGCCTTGGCAGAGTATACTGGGAGACAAATGCAGATGCCACTTCAAAGAACCACCTCTCCAGGTGCTGAGGGCGACTTTTCTGATGCTTGCGCTGTGTCATTGTTTATTTTTGCAAGGCACCCAGCTGCTGTGGTGATGATATTTATATCAATAAGTGCTCTATTCATCTGCCGATTCCAGGGGATGCTCGCCAGCTGCATATGGCAGCCAACCTCAGGGTACTTCTGAGCCTGATGTTTTTGCATTTAGAGAATTGATTCTCAAAGGCTGTACCAACATCTGGGGCTGAAAGATCCTTCCCTCTCCCAGGACCCACCCTGAAAGGGGGAGCTATAGCCAATGACCTTGGCCTTTGCTTCTTTATAGGTCCCCAAGTGAGATTCTTTAAAACTCCCCTCTGTGTCTGAGCTCTGGTTTTGCATAAAAAGATGTTGGAAAAGAGAGGAGCAAACAGGGTTTCATAGGTCCTACTTCACTCCTGGACTCCTCCTGGAGCTGAGTTCACTGTTTTGCTTTTTCAGGCAAAGGAATAGAGTGATGATGCCTTCTGACTCCGAGACTCTGCAGGAAACTCTCTGTTTTATGGGAATTTATTTATTTTCATAGTTATCTGTTTCCAACCTTCCATTGTTCAGGCCCAAAACCTTGGAGTTTTCCTTGATTCCTCTTTTTCTCTCACACTCCATATTCCATGTGTCAGGATATATCCAGAATCTACGCCTTTGCTGCTACCCTGGTCCAAGCCATCATCACCTGCCATTTGCATAATCATGGCAGCTTCTTCTATGTTCTCTCTGTTTCCACTCCCAGCACCACCCTTTCCCCATCCTGCACCAAAAATCTATTCTCAACACAGCAGCTATGCTTTTTTTTTTTAAAAAAAAGTCAAATTATGTCACTCCTCTGCTTAAAACCTTCAGTGGCTCCCCATTTCTCTCAGTGAAACCCAAAGTTCTTCCTATGACCTCCAAGACCCTCCTTGACCCGGCCCTGGTACATCTCCAACTTCAGCTTCTGCTGCTCTCCCACACCAACCTGCTCCTGCCCCAATGGCCTCTGTGCTGTTCCTCCAACATCCCAGGTACATGCTCACGATAGGGCCCTGGTGCAGGTGTTCCCTCTGTTGGAGACACTCTTCCCTGAGGGAGTCACATGGCTCGCTCCCTCTCCTGCTTCAAGTCTGAGTTCAAATGTCCTCCTCTCAATAGGGCCTGCCTTGACCACCCTGTTACACCTGCAGCCTGTGCCCCAAAGCCAGCCTTCTGATTGTCATTACCATGCCCGCTTATTTGTCTTTTTCCCAACACATGTCATCTTCTAACATATAATGTAATACATTACAGAGTGCTTGTTGGTTATTGTTTGTCTCCACCTTTAGAATAGAAGTTGCATGAGAGATGGGAATTTTGGTGCTTTGCTTTGTCTGTGTTGTTCACTGATGCATTCCAAATACCTAGAATAGCGTCCAGCAAATAGCAGCTGCTCAACAAATATGGGTTGCATGAAGGAATGGAATCTCTCCTGAATGTCTCTCACAGGCACATCCCAAGTTGCACTCACTTTCATCCCCTGCTAACCCGCCCTCTTCCTGCCTCCCCTGACCTCCCTGCCTCTCGAATCCATCCCTATGCCCAACTGCCCAGAGTGGACATATCTATCATGTGACACGTGGCTGCCATCATCCATGACTGTTTCTTCTCATTTGCCTCTGCATCCAGCTGCTCTCTAAACCTTGTGGATTTCAACTCTGGAAATGTTTTCACGCCCAACTGCAATTCTCTTACCTCCTGGCCACGTTCTCAGTTCAGATCATCACCTTTATTTTCTGCATATTTGCAAAGTTCTCCTCCCCAACCTCCTGGTTTCCACGTTTTCTTCCTCACTGGTCCCCATGCTTGGCTTTCTAACAGGAACTCTGGCTCTGTCACACCACTGTGAAGCCCGCCAATATGTCTCCTCCCTGTACAGCAAAGATTTTCTAACTGTGCTCCTAGGAACTCCAGAAATTCCACAAAGGTACCCAGAGTGACTGACTCTCCAGGGGCACGGGGAGGAGATGAAGGAGCCATGTTGGGGGGAGCCTCAGACCCCCACCTTCAGCTTTTGATCATGGATCATGCCTGTTTCATAGATTAGGCTTGCGTGAAAGCTTTTATTCATAGAAAGGATTCTGCTGCTTACAAAGTAAAAGTCTGATGTGCACCACGCCACAGGGCAAGGTCCAAGCTCCTCGGCCTGGCACAGGGAGCCCTCTGCAAGCTGGGTCCCACTGTGTTTCCCAGCCTCATCCTGCCCTTCTCCTCCTGACATGCCCAAGCCCCCACGGGAACAGAAGTTGTTCTGCAAACAAGCCTACATACATTTACCAACCCCCCGCCGGCCTTTGCTCCCGCTGTTCCCTCTGCCTGGAATGTCTTTTCCTAGCCAGTTCATCCCCGATATACCCAAATCTCCTCTGACTTCTTCAAGGCCAAAGTCACCTTCTTTTTGAAGTCTTCCCTCACCCTCTGGGCAGAATTAATCGCTCCCTACTCCTGGCCAACACAGCACTTCCCTCTGACCTCTATTATAGCACTGCCACACGAGGTCCAGACAATTTGCTCATCTGTCTCTGTAGCAAGACTGTGAGCTCCTAGAGGGCTGAAACTACAACTCAGATCCATTAAAATTTTTTTTATTCCTACCCAAGGCCTGCACAAGGCCAGCCCTGACATGCGATTGCATGGAGTTACTCTGAGTTTTCTTCAAGGCAGTTACAGGACAGCTATTCAAAAATCTGAAAGGCCATTCTCACCTCCTCTGCTCCAGAATGGCTGCCCTCCCATAGGAGCATGGTCTCAAGACACATGTGTGGTGGGCACATGATGCTTGGGGCTGCCAGACCTAGAGGGGCTAAGGCATGAAGCCCACCAGGACATGGGGTCATTGGTGAGGAAGCCAGGCCTCATGGGGTGGTCAGAGGGCAAAGCATGAGAGGTTCAAGCTCCAGGCTTTGCCAGTGCAGGCTGCATCACAGAGGGACAGGGTGGTGAGTGTGGCTAGGCATTGGAATTCTCTTCAGGGCTGGAGGTGCTCAGGGCTGGGGGAGGTTGCCTCCTGGCCCTGCAAGCTCTGTGAGATTTAGAGCAAGACCCTAACCAGTGCCTGGGAAATGGAGCAACAGAGTCTGGCCCTGGGCGTGGGGTGGGGTGGGGGGGTCGTTGGGAAAAGCCCACAGGCAGGGGGAGTCATTGCTGGGGTCTGGAGTAGCAGGAGCTTGCAGGAGACTCGTTGCCTTCGCAGGTAGCAGGATGGGCTTGCCTGGTGCTCATGGCCAGACAGTGCCCATCGCTGGGGAGCTAGCTTGGGCAGAAGCAGCACTGCGCTGGCTCTCAAGGGTTCCCCCTTCAGTCTAGAGCAAGGTTCCCCTGACCACCCCTGGGCCCACACAGAACAGCAGCTGGGCCTCGTCCTACCTGGGCAGTGTCCATCTCATTCAGCATCACCACGGAGGAGCAGTTATAATCAAACACCAGTCTCCAGAAGTCTGCCACTGTGTTGGGTAGAGGGTGTTGGGTGACCACGAAGGCAGCAGGCTGCTTGTGGCTCTGACAAAGGAACGACACAAGCTTTGTAAAATATACATCCATCAGTGATATTCTAATGATGATGAGGCCTGGATGGCTGCCAAATAGATTACACAAAGCACCTGCCCGTTCTGTTATCTTTCGGTGCCCTGGCAGCAAAGGGGACCTTCTCATAATGAACACATTCTCCTCCAAACTAAGACATTTCATTAGGAAAGTGTCACTCGGATGGGGATTATCCAAATAAATTATTTATGTCCTGGAGCTCAGCAAATAATTATCATTACAATATGAAATGAAAGATTCTAGATGCAGATTTGCTGCTCTGATGGCCAAGACACCTCTTGGGATTTAAGGGACCTGCTGCTTCTCTGTGCCCATGATGTTGGGGTAGAAGGAGGGCCAGCCTGAGGCAGAGAGCCTTTCTGAGGGGCTCATATTGCAGAAGGCTCACTCCTGCCCCCAGGCTAGAATGGGCCCTGAGCTGGTCTGGCAGAAAGCGGGTGCTGTGTCTTATGAGCCAGTAGGGCAGTGGAAGGTACCTGTGTATTAGAGTAAGGCAGTCTTGCAGTTTAAATCCAGCTTTGCTGCTTGTAAGTTATGTCCTCCGTCCATCCATCCATCCATCATTCATTCCATTCATTCAAGCATCATTTGTATATGATGTCTTTGCAGGGAAGAGGGGGATGCCTGGGAGAGGGAGCAATGCCTAGGCACTAGCAATTTATTATATTGCTCCAAAGCTAAGATTCTTTATCTGGAAAAAGGGAATCATAAACCCAAAGGGTTGGTTGTCACACAGATTGAGTGAGATTTCCATGTGAAAAGACCAGCAAGCAGGAGCCTGACTGCAAGCCCACTGCAGGGCGGAAACATCCCTGGCTTTGTTTCTTATTCTTGGCATGAGTGTTGTGGTTGGACACACACATACTCAATGCAGCTCCAGCAAATAAATGAGTGAATTGAGTCCCATGTTGCAGATAGGGAAATGGAGGCCCAGAGAAAATGGTCTGTGTGAGTCTGGAAGCTTCAGCTGGGCCCTATTCATCACACCAACCTGCAAGAAGGTGTTTGGAAAGATTGGGGAGCTTCTCTACTTCATCGGCAGGTTACAGAACCTGGGAAATTCCCCATGTTCTCAACAAGTTTTCTCAGGAGATGAGTCCTGTGGGAGTCACAGCTGTTTTCTGTGGAGTCACAAGTCACAAGGAAGGTGGGAAGGAAAAGGGGTGAAGTTTCTGGCAAAAGCAGGACAATGCCTTGCAAATGTGGATGTCATGCAAGCATTAGGGGGTGCTGTCTTCCAAGAACCTTCTCCTAGCCAGTGGAATGGTCAGAGGAAGGGTCTGGGACAATCCCCAAAGCTAAACGCTCCAGCTGTAGACGGCATGGTCTCTGAGCCATTTCCAGATGTTGAAAAGAATCTAGGCTTTAAGAGTCAACAGGTGGGGGGCTCAGACCCTTAGCTCCACCCTTTCTGAGCTAGTTGACCTTGAGTAAGTTATGAAAATACTCTAACCCTCAGTCCCTTATTGGAAAATAGGGCTAATAATATCCCAATGCAACAAGAGATAGTACAAATCCAGGGCCCGACATGGTGCCCAACACTCAGTGAATGTTAGTTTTCTTTCCTTTTTCCCTGTCTCTGTGATAAATGCTCTATTAGGCCAGCACGCCTGACAAAGCCTTATCTGAAAATATGTTCGAGATCCGTGCTCCTGCCGGGTTTCAGGGATCAGCCAGCAATCCATTTCATGGATAACATCATCCTTTACCAGGGGAAACATTAAAAATTAACCCAGAGGACTTCATATTTTTCTGCTAGGAGCAAAGCTGCTATGGTTACCAGATAATGCACAGACTGAGTGGGAATACAGATAAGGAGGCTTTTTTTTTTTTTTTTTTTTTTTTTTTTTTTTAATATAAGAAAGGTAAAGGCCCCAGTGATGGCTCACAGGAGAAATGCCCTGTGGACAAAGAGTACAGTCAGCACCAGAGCTTGGCAGAAGGCATTTGACTCCAGGCAGCATCTAACCTACTAAGTAAGTGCTGGGAGCTTGTTTGATCTTTGCTTGGATGAGGAAGGCAGGGAGGGGGTGTTGGGACAAGTGGGAGACAAAGCTAGGAGGAGGTTGGAAGTGGGGGTGTACCCCTACACCACACATAAACTCCTACATGCACACAGACACATACATGCACGCATTGACCTTGGGAGGCTCTAAGTGAATGCCATAGGTCTTCTTTCCACCTCCAGCTATTTGTTATGACCAAGATAAGACTCCCTGCTTCTGGACCCAGAGCTAGTGATTTCATGGAGGATGCGGGCACCCTGTGGGCAGAGGCCAGGGCAGGCACCTAGAGAGCTGAGAAAGGCATTGACCTCTCATCACCTCTCTGTCTCCAACACCAGGGACTCTTGGGGAGAAAGTTCAGGAGGGCAAAGGTCAGAGAAGTAGTTGGCCTTGGCCCCAAGAGGGAGCTCTCCATGGTCCTGTCTGTTCTGAGTGAGATGGGAGGGCCACCCAGAAGAGCTCATTCCCAACAGTGTTCTGAGCCTCTGGAGGTGAGATGTCTGCATCTTACAGGGTTGAGCAAACTGTGAGGCTCAAGAAATGAATTCTAGAGTGTGAGCCTGGAGCTCTGGGTCTGGGCTTTGCCACTAGCTCTCTGGGTCACCTCAAGCAAGTCTTGTTCCCTCTGGCCTCAGTTTCCTTTGCTGAAAAGTACATGGATGAGACTAGAAGGTGCATGATTCCTTCCTGCTGTAAACATCTCTCCATCATGGAGGGTGAGTGATGATAACCAGAAGTAGCTAAAGGACCCAAGGAGAAGCATACAAGGCAGAATTATTGTCCACTGGGGCAGGGACATGACCCTAATCCCAAGCCAGGGCAGGGTGGACTGCCCTTCTTAAAGGTGATGTTGAGAAAGCAGAAGACAGTGTCCTGACCAGAGTAGCTAGGAATGCTCCCCCTTTGTGTGCCTTCTACTGCTTCTTCTTATTTGTTCAATAACCACTTACTGAGCACCTGCTGTGTGCCATCCTCATTCTTGCCTCTGCACAGAAGTCACCTGGGAACCTGCTTGGGAGCTACCAGAGGGCAGAACCCATGTGCGCACTGTCGTGTTTTCCCAGGGCTCAGACCAAGGCCTGGCATCTAGGATGCTTCCTGAACTGAACTTCAGCTGAGAGTCAGCTCCGTGAGTGATGGGAGGGGGGCTGAGCAGAGCTATGGCCTTGCTCGGGTGTCATGGGAGCCCTTTAAGCTTTTGGTCTATTCTTTCTAGACTATTTATGTGAGCAAAGGAGCCAAGAGCACAGCTTGTGTCTAGGTTTGGGCCTGAGCCTTCAGGGGGAGCAAAGGTCCTTGGGGCCAGCAGATCAGAAGCAAGGAGAGGCTGGCTGCTAGGGTCTGGGCCCTGGAGTCCAGCCACCTCCACCTTGAGAAAGAAGCTTTTCCCTGGAATGCCAGCCAGGAGCTTTCTGCTAGGCTCAGCTTACATCCATCAGTGCCGCGTTGATGTAGTTGCTGGATTCTCCATCCACCGAGATGAGGAAGGGCAGGCAGCGGTCCAGAGGAAGGACATCCATGCTCCGATTCTTATCATGGTTTCGGGGGAGGAGTCCGATGCTGCAGTCCTCAGGTCGGACACGGGGTGTCACAATGTTGAGGGTCTGTAGGGCACAAAGTTGGATAGATAGGCACTTCTCAGATGGCTGCCCCTGAGCAGAGGAGACAGTGTGATATTACAATTTAGCCTAACTTGCCTATCTCCACTGTCCAACCTTGGCCCTGCTGTCCCTTTTCCAGGACTAGCTCCTCTTCTGTGGTGATGATCTATCATTTCCTGTTGGCTGCTGCAGGGCCTGTGAGCTGAGAGCCTTTGCCAGGGGCTGTGTGACATCTTCAGGATGCCAAGACTGCAGGGGCAGCATGCCCACACACAGGCTCAGACACAGGCCACCAACACGTGCCAACCAGTTGAACTAAGCTGTTCAACTCAGCCAATGCTGCATTAAAGGGTGGGCCAGCCAGGAGGTCATACTGGGGGGATGGAAGTAGAGAATCCCTAATGAGTGTTAAACATCACTTGAAGTATCACAGAAAGACAGAAATGATTGACCAGCACTCTTTTCAGAGAGAAAGCTGTGTGAGGATAGAATAGTGCTTAGATGATCTGCTCAGGATATATGATAGATCACCAAGGGGCTCTAGTAGGTCTGAAAACTTGTAGGCCCTATGCTCTACAGAGTAAATCTTGCAAGTTTGGGGCCAGAGCTGAACTGCCATAGCCAATAGATTAGATGCTGTGCACAATGATCAGGGTTCTGTCTCCTCCAATCTTTCCTCATTCAGTACTCTGTCTCTACTGTAAATCAACAAAAACTATTTGTTTGAAGGAACACTAAGGTATTGGCCTGGCTGGGGTATCTCCCCAAGGGCCCAGCATTTGCCCATGGACTTGAGACAAGTTCTGGAGCTTCTTTGCTTCTTCTTGCCTGATTCTCAGCTCCCATTGCAGAAGTATGACCCTGGCACTGGCCTTGGGATGAAGGGCTGGACTCTGGGTTTGTCTTACCCAGTGATTCACGTCCAGGCCTCTTTGACCAAAATTGCCACAATTCTGATAATATGGGCTCCAGGGTGTGGATCTGCTTTGCCTGAGCTGTGCTCTAGGATGATGCTTCTCAAAGTTTAGTGCGCATACAAATCACTCAGAGAACTTGTTAAACTGCAAGTTCTCGTTGAGTAGGTCTAGATGAGGCCCAAGATTCTGCATTTCTAACATGCTCCCGGGTGAAGCTGGTGCTGCTGGTCTCTAGACCACACTCAGAGTAGTAAGGATCTACAGAGAGAATAATGAGGAAACCCGAGTCCCCCCAGGGACAGAGTAGCATGAAATTCACAGCTGTGTTTAAACTTGTCTCCATCCACAACCTGGACTAGAACTGAACAAGACCTCAGTTCAAAAACATAGAGTTAAAACAAGTATCAGCAGTCCCTGAGTGATTAGTTAGCAATTGCTCATGGCTGTGCATTTATGTTCTGGAATGCATTCTCTAGCTGCTTAGAGCTGCAGGCACTGAAAGCACATAAAGATACCAATTTTCACAAAGAAAGCCCCAGAATGTGCACAGAGCCACAGAAGTTGGCTGGGTCACCATTATGGACTGAACATTTTCATCCTCCCCAAATTCATTTGTTGAAAATCCCAACCCCTAGTGTGATGTATGAGGAGGTGGGGCCTTTGGGAGGTAAATAGGGAATGAGGGTGGAGCCCTTGTGAATAGGATTAGTGCCTTCATAAGAAGAGACATGAGATCTTGCTTCCTCTCCACTTTCTACCATGCAAAGATAAACAGAAAGGTGGCAGTTGCAAGCCAGGAAGTGAGCCCTCTCCAGACAGTGGGTCTCCCAGTGGCTTGATCTCAGACTTCCCAACCTCCAGAAATGTGATAAATAAATATCGTTTGTTTATGCCACACAGTCTATGAAAGTTTGTTATATCACTGAGCCCGGGATGTGCCCATACCTGAAATTCATCTTTGATTTGGCTGGAGTTCGTCTGGGGGTCCAGCCTGCTGATGTTGTAGTAGAGAGAGCGGAACTCACACACAGGGATGGCAGTGTTGCCACAGAGGCATGCCTCCAGGATGGCATCATGCACAAACACGTATTGCTCCTGCAAAGTCCAGGGGAGAGGGACTAAGTAAGAAGAGTGGCCTGGGAGTTTTTTGTTCACAGTTCACCTGTGGCTGTGAAGAATGGGCATGATTTAGATTGCAGAATCCTTACTTTTTAGCCTACAACCCAAAGAGCCAAGTTTCTATGTTTTGAAGTGATTGCCTGACCTATGGTAAGTTTAGTTCCTTGTGTAAGACTGAACAGCTAGATAGGAAGAATAAGTTCTAGTATTTGATAGTAGTGCTTGGTGTCTATAATTAACAACAATTTATTGTATATTTTCAAATGGCTAACAGAGAGGAGTTCAAATATTCTCATCACAAATAACTGATAAGTATTCATGGTGAGGGTATGCTTAGCATGATTTGATCACCACACAGTGTATACATGTATCAAAATATTACTCTGTACCCCATAAATATGTACAATTATTACATGTCAATTAAAAAAAGGATTGTTTCTTCTGCTGTGCAGAAGCATTTTAGTTTGATAGAATCCCATTTAGTTTTTCTTTTGTTGCCTGTGCTTTTGGGGTCATACTCATAAAGTCTACACCCAGGCCTACTTCCTGAAGTGTTTCCCCATGTTTTCTTTTAGGAGTTTTATAGTTTCAGGATGTACATTTAATTTTTTAATCCATTTTGAGTTGATTTTGGTATATGGTGAGAGGTATAGGTCTAGTTTCATTCTTTTGTATATGGATATCCAATTTTCTGGGCACCATTTATCAAAGAAGCAGTCTCTTCACTAGTGTGTGTTCTTGCAAAAGAAAAAATTAATAGAGCAAAAAGACAACCAAAAGAGTGAGAGAAAATATTTGCAAAATATGCATCCAATAAAGGATTAATATCCAGAAAATACAAGGATCTCAAGCAGCTTAACAGCAAGAAAACAAGTAACCCGATTAAAAAATGGGCAAAGGAGCTGAGTAGGCATTTCTCAAAGGAAGATAGAAGAATAGCCAACAGACACATGAAAAAATGCTCAATATCATTCAGCATCTGGCAAATGCAAATCAAAACCACACTGAGACATCATCTCACTCCAGTTAAGCTGGCTAATATCAAAAAGACAGAATAACAAATGCTGGTGAGGATGTGCAGAAAGGGGAAACCTCCTACACTGTTGGTGGGACTATAATATGCTGCAGGCATTATGGAGAATGGTATGGTGGTTCCTCAAACAACTGCAGCTAGAACTGCCATATGACCCAGCAATCCCACTACTGGGTATATACTCAAAGGAATGGAAATCATCATGTTGAAGGGATACCTGCACTCCCATGTTTATTGCAGCTCTATTTACAGTAGCCAAGAGTTGGAACCAGCCTAAATGCCCATCATCGGACAAGTGGATAAGGAAAATGTGGTTTAATTACACAACGGAATACTACTCTGCTATAAAAAAGAATGAAATTCTACCATTCATAGCAACATGGATGAACTTAAAGAAAATTATGTTAAGTGAAATAAGCCAGGCACAGAAAGAGAAAAACTGCATGCTCTCTCTTATATGTAGTAGCTAATAAAAACAAACAAATAAATAGAAGAAAGAAAAGACACAACAACTGCAATAATTCTTTGAACTTGTTAAGAGAATTGAATAGAACTGAGGTTGCTGGAGGTGGGAAAGGGGAAGAGGAAGGGAGGAAAGGGAGGAATTGGTAAAGGGCCATGAAAATCAATTACATTGTAAAATGATTAAAAAAAAATTGAACAGCATAGTTGCTGATAAAAATGAGGAACTTCTGGACATGCTTGGGCAGGTGCTCTTGGTGCCCTGTTCACGTCTCTTTGGTTTTCACCTTTACCTGTGAAGGCTGCTTGCTGCAAACACTTGCGATTTGCAAACATCTGCTGAGGGCTTTCTTTCTAGTCCAGGAGCACACTGGGCTGAGTGCAGGCAAGCCAGCAGGGCCAGAGTCAATGCCAAGGAAGCATCCCTCAAGCAATGATCAATGGAGAGCTGAGGATAAAAGCTATGTTCCCAGTCTCCTTAGGTGGGATAACGTGGAAGTGCATGTTCCACACCCTTTCTCAGAGTTCCCAGCAGGACTGGGCTCCAGTTGTCTGCAGGGTTTAACAGCTTGATAACATACCCTTTGTTTGTTTCCTTCCCTTCTCTGTCTCACTTTCCCACTCACCATCCAGTGTGTCTTGAGATTACCACCCAAATAAACTGCTTGCCCTCAAATCTTTATCTCAGGGTCAGCTCCTAAAACATGTGCTGTACCCTCTTTCATCTCAGGTACTTTGTACCCGCTGTTCACTTCTCTTGAAACTCTGCTCCCTCTTTTCTACAGCTTCAATATTTCATTACTTCTGGAAAGTCTTCTCTTAATCCACCAGACAAAAGTTACGTCTGGGCCCTTGATAAAAGTTTGTTGACTGACCTTCCTCCAGCAGAACTTGCCTACCTCTCTACACAAAGTGCTTATCCAGAGGCATTAGGATGTACCTGCATTTGAATGTGCCCCCACCAGACGGTAAGGAACATGTGTCTTACTCTTACCAGCCATCCTGCCTCCTGCATGCATGAACCTGGGAACAGATAGAGCAGCCCTGCTGTCCTCAGTGCTAGAAGCCTAAGACTAGCCTGTGTGAATTAGGTCAGAGTCTGCAGCCGGGTCCTATGTATACAAACCTATTCACGGCAGAGCCAGAAGTGACTGGCTGTGCCCAGAGCCATGAGTTATTTTCTTTGCAGGTTAGTGATGTGTGCAGCTCCTTATCTGTCTCAACTCTGACTTCCCAGACACCCACAGCCTTTGCTTGAACCAGAAGATGGGCTTATTACAGGAATGACAAACCAGGGCATATAGGAGGGGGATAGGCAGAAAAGGCTGTTTAATGTGTGGTGTGAAGTTCAGGGGAAAGAGCCTGGGCCTCGGATCACATGGACCAAGGTTCTACCACAGTCTGGCTGTGTGAGGTCTTGGGGACACAATTTCTCAGTTTCTTCTTCTCCATTGATCAAATGGAGATAATAGTAGGAGTTAATCATAGGTTGTTGTGAGGAGCAGAACCAACATCCTGAATGCATGCTGTCTGGCTCATAGTAGGTGTGCAACAATGAAGATGACCCCTCTTCCATTTCCCCTAGGTCTTGGGCTCTCTAAGCAGACAGAGACGTGCCTGACGTCTGCCTCTCCCTTGCCGGCAAGGGCTGTGTTTTATCTCTCTGGGAATCCCCAGCACCTAGCTCAGGTACTTAATATCTTTCTTGACTAAAGCCATTCCTTGCAGTGAATGAATCAGTACTTGGCACATAGTAGGCATTCAATAAATGCCAATCCTTCCCTTTCCCTCTCTACACTTTCACCCAAGGTAGGAAAACTATCCAAAGAATCCCTGGAAGTTGCTATTTGGTCCCTGTTGAGATGCCCTCAGAGCTGGGGAACTCACGACCATTTGGCATTGGTACAAATCCCTGCACCATAGACTCTTAGGGTTGGCTGGGGCATCCTTGCTTCTGAAGTGGTCTCACCATAGTAGGTCACATGTTCACACTTCTCCCACTCGTAGGTCCCTTTCTACAGGATGCCCCCACTCTACTATGCTTCTCCTTGGCCAGGGCTGCAGGTAGCTGGCTGGCTGCCTCAGTCCCCCAGGACTCACCTCTGTCTGCACCAGGTTGACCCTCTGCGCTCGAAGCTCACGCACACAGTTGAAGATGTCAACCACCCCTTCGTTCTCAGCCATGTCAAGCATGGTGTCAATGGCTATGAAGCAGCCAGTCCTCCCGGCTCCAGCACTGGAAGAGAGGGTATGATCTGTGTTAGGGACTTTAGAATGGGGTGGGGGAGGCCCCTGCCACTCAGCCCTGTCCCAAGGGCCCTGCTGAGAAATCAAACCCAACAGCCTGAATCCCAACGCTCCTGGGAGATGCTGAGCAAGCGACTAAGAACCTCAGCTCTCTCCTTTGTAAAATGGGAGAGTAATGCTTACCTTTGGGGGCTATTTTATCAGGACTGACTTATTTTGTTGTACTCATTTAGCAAACAATTATTTAGTGCTTACAAAGTGCCAGACATTGTTCTAAGTGCTTTACAAATGTTACCTACACATCTCCCTATGAGGTGGTTAGGAAGCTTCTCATCCCATTTCAGAGGTGAGAAAACTGAGGCACAGAGGGCTTATCTTGCCTGAGATCACACAGCCGGCAAGTGGTAGAGCAGGAACTTTTACCCAGGCCGTCTGGCTCCACAGGTGTGCTCTCACACTTCCTTGCCTGATAACATTTAGAGCCATAATGCACGCGTACAGCATGAATGCACGCACTTTCCTCATCTGATGGGTACAGGTAATTTGTCTATACAGTATAAAACACCTCACGTGGTATCCAGAGCACTGGAAATGCCTAGTAAGCGTGTCTTTTCTCTTCCCCTCCCTTCTTTTCTCATTCTTTCTCTTTTTTGTTCTTCAGCAAATGGGCTGATGGGTGGAAGCAAGGAAGGAGAGGAGACAGAGAACAGAGAGGAGGTGAATGAGATGGCAGAAACTAGAGTCATCTGAGCCGTCCCAAAGGCAGGGAGCGAATCCCAGAGTCCCATGTCCAAAGCCCTGCATCTGGCTCCACCTGGTCCTATTTTCCCCAGGATCATGAAGCAGGAGCCTCACTAAACTTGAGCAGGTGACAGCCCTGAGACCCTTGTTGGATATCAAGTTTTCTGATACATATTCAATTTCTGATCACCAATGGCTTCTTTAGGAGAATCTCAGATCAAGTACAAAATAGCAAGAGAGCTCAACAAGACTCTGCGGACCACAGCCAGCTCTTCCCAGATCAGTGCTGGGTTCTGAAATGATGGTGCTGAACCAGAGACAAACAGAACACTTGCCTTCCACACATACAGTTTTGGAAGGGAAGACCAGGCAGACTGTCAAGGAGGCCCATTTTGGCTGCATTTTCATGTCTTGAATACCTCATGAAAACAAGTGTTTTTGTCTAACAATGTGGAAATCAAAGGAAATGCAGAGGAAGATAGATGGAACAAGATGGATAAATCCAAGGAGCACAGTCCAGTGCGACATCACCCACAATGATCTGGAAGGAAAACCCGTGGCAAGCAGAGTCTTCATTCATGGTAAAATCTCATGGTTTGAATTGAGCAAAGTCTGACTTATATTTGCCTCACAATACCTCCCTCCCACCATAATCCAGACCCCCCAAGAGGACTCAATGGGCTGGGCCTCAGTGTCCAGGAGGAGTATAAAGAACCACTCATCCATCTCCTCTTCAAATTCTCATCCTTAGCATGTTTTAGGGGAAGGAACCAGGTTGACTTGGTTTTGAATTTTGGACCCACCATCAGTGAACAAGTTGCCTGGTGTATGTGAGCCTTAGTTTTCTCACACATATAACATGCTTCCCTGCAAGGTCCTTGTGAGGATTAAGCTGTGTTTACTTGAGCATCACATAGTAACCAAACACAGGATATTTGGAAGAGACCCCTGGGATCAAATCCTGACTTATTACTTACTAGCTGTGTGACCTTAGGTAAATGAACTAACCTCTCTGGGTTTCAACACTCTTCATTCATAAAATGATGCTGATAATAAGAAATAGATCCATCTTAAAACATTAATAGCACAATATATGTAAATTGCATGAGATTACGTTTAAAAAACATAATGCATGTAAATTGCTTAGCCCTGTGCCTGGATGCATAGCAATTTCTCAATAAATAGTTGCTACTTATATTCAACAAATATTTGTTGAGCATCTACAATGCACTGGCTGCTGGGATTAGGAGTGCAGATATGAAGACGAGTAAGGCATGGCCCCTGTTCTGAAGGATTAACAGTGTGGGGAAGGAAATAGCATGAAGAGGTAGAGAAGACTGATATTTTTAAGTGCTTACTCTATGTCAGGAATTCTCTTAGGCACTTAGTACATGTTAGCCAACCCATTTAATCTCCAGAATAGCCCCAGGATGGGAACCACTCTGATCAGATGCGTTAGGTGACCTGCTATGGAGATACAGATGTAGAGCCATCACACACAGAGCTGGGTAAGGTGCAGGGCCTGATAAATATTTGCCATTGTCTGCCTTTCTCCCTCACCCCTGCTCTGGCTGCTCTTTGGGAAATAGGTCTTGGGGGCTAATGTTCTATTGTCCTTGGGTTGCAATGAGATACAAACCCACTTAAAGAACCTGGGGGTGTCATGAGTATATCTTCCTAACTCTCAACGGCCTCATCTGTGAAATGGGGTTGTGTATCCACCATTGTGGGGAAGATAAATGGATGCTGTGTGAGAAAGGATCTGGCTCCCACAGTTTACAGGATCTTTCTTGGTCCCTTGACTGACATGGATACTATCAGGACAGGGATGAGATAACTTGAACATGCAGGGTCTGAAAAGATGGGCTGGGCCCAAGGTGACATTGGAAAAAACCACTCAGAAGGAGGGGGGATGTGCAGGCTGGCTGGCTTCAAGTCTGTATGTTCAGCCTTCACCAATTGTTGATGCCCTTGACAACGATACTTCATCTCCATTTAGGAGGTTTCAAAGATGCGCCACTCATTCTCAATGTGACTTTCTAGGTGAGAGCTGAAAATATCTGTCTCCATAACAAGGTGAAACCTAATGCTGTCCATTTACTCTCTCTTATGGACTCTGCAGGCCAGCCATTAATTTTACACATAATAGGAATGAAGAGAAGCACGTGTCCACCAAGGCACCCTGTGCCATGTCAAAGAGCTGAAGGTGACTGTCTGGAGAATAGCATGTTAAATATCTCAGCTCTGCTATCTTGCACCTGTGTCTACTTTCTCGGCACCGCAGTTTTCTCATCTGTGAAATGGGGAAGATAATAATGCCCACCTGTCAAAGTTGGATGAGAAATAAATGAAATAATGTGGGTAAAGTGCACATGGCAGGAGTAACCAGTGCTGCCAGTCCCCAGCCCGCATCCCCAGCGACTTTACTATTTTAGCACAATAACAACAACAATGACTGCTACTGCCGTTACTGTTGTTGTTAGACTTTAGGACCCAGGTCTCATCAGAAAGTGTTGGGCATATGGACAGGGGAGTCTTTAAGGCAAAGAATAAGGCCACTGGAAAAGACGGTGTCTCCCTCGCCGAGAAAGCAGAGCTGCAGGGATTCACTTGGCCGGGGTGGGGGACCTTGGACTTACCTGCAGTGGACCACTATAGGCCCGGCCTCAGGGGGGTTGAGGAACTTGACCTGGCGGACAAAGCCCAGAAGGCCAGTGGCATAACAGGGGACGCCGTGGTCAGGCCAGCTGGTGAAGTGGAAGAGGCGGAGCTCCCGGATCTCATGGTAGCCTTTCTGAGGAGAGAACGGGCCTCTGTTCCTCCAGCTGCACCTCACAGGCCCAGCCCAGCACCGGGGGGCACCGCAGCTGCAGCACTGAGGAGCGAGACTTCCTGCTGTCCAGGGAGGACAAGGCCCTCGCGGGGTTAACAGGTGTTACCACACAGAGTGATTCTGTGATCAGTTGCATTTCAGAAATGTGGAACTAGCTAAAGAGCAACTGATTGTTTAATGGCAGGACTTCTCAGAGCCTTTAGTGTGCTAATGCACATTCTGAATCCCCAAGAGGGCGATATAGCACCCCCAGCATTTGCCCATGGGATCTTCTTTGGCAATTATTTCATAGGAAGTATATTCAGTAGAACAGACTCAAAGAAATGATAGCCTTAAAAAACAAGGTCAAATTGTTTCCAGTGGAATATGAGGCCTTTCAGTGATTGAGATCTGCTGTCCTCTAGTTTTCCAGTCTTATCTGTAAGAGTCTCCATGGCTTTTATCACCACTCTCACAGAGACATGCTCTGGGCCAACAGTGGTTTTCTGACTACTCCATGGCCGGGTCATACCTCCAGGCCTTTGTTTAAGCAGTTCCCCTATCGACTTTTTTCTACTTAGCAATCTCTGGCAGATATTTAGAGAGCATTGAATGGGAAGAGTCTGTTCGTTCATTCCTTTAGTTTAAAAATCTTTACCAAGGGTTATCTGTGCCCAGCCTTGTGGACATAAAAGCCACAGCCTCTGTCCCTGGAACAGCTCATGGCCTCAGTAGGGAGGCAGACTCCTAAGTGGATAACTCTGTTAAGTGTATCAGGGTGTGTCAGCTAAACTGATCTGGGGAGAAGAGAAATCAGAGAAGGCTTCCTGGAGGACATGATGCTTGACCTGAGTCTTGAAATATATGAATATTAAAAATAATAGCTAACATTTATTGAGCATTGACTATGTGCCCGTTACTCTTCCGAACACTTGAATGTATTAATTCATTTCATCCTCATATCAATCTTCACATTGTTATCTCCATTTTATGGATGAGGAAACTGAGGCTAGCAAGGTTAAATAACATGCCCCAAATCACAACACAACTGGTAAGTTGTAAAGTGACAATCTGAACCCTGGCTGTCTGGCTCCACAGTCTGCACTCCTGATTATTGTAATACACTGATGCATGCGTATTACCCAGTTGAAGAGACAGGGAAACTGAGGCAGAGGGCCAGCATGGGCGTGGGGACAGGACTTTGCATGGTGTATGCAGGGAATCACAGGCAACCCAGGAAACTCAAGAGGAAAGCGGAAGGCAGGCAATGGTGGGCAACAGGATGGGGGTGTGGGAGGATGGGCGGGTGCTGAATCTGGGAAGGCCTTTGAACTTTATCTTCCAGGTTGCACAGATGGTTGCACAGAAGGGGAATGCATCCCTGGACTTGCATTTTAGGAGGACCTCACTGGCCACTACATGGAGGATGGATTCAGTGGGTGTGTTGGGGGCTCTTTAGAAGGCACTGTTGGGCCAACTCAGACCCCAGTCACTGGGCCGGTGCCCCCCATCCCCAGCTACTCTGAGTCTTTGCTATAGACAGCTCACAATTACCCCTTTCTGCAGAGAACTGCTCCTAACTGCACAGGAGCTGCTTCCCTGGGGTAGGGGTGAGATGGTGGCACGACTGACCTTGGATGACTGACAGGAGAGTTAGTGTGACTAACTGGCTTTGTCAGTTGCCTTGTTTGTCTGGGGCTCAGGGCTTTCCCAGGCCAGAGGACTTTCAGTGCTAAAACCAGGCCTGTCTTGAGCAAGCCAGAATAGCTGGTGATCCTCATGGGGCTACAAAAGGTCCCCTTGCCTCAACATTGGACCCAGCATGCAGTGCAATTCATGCTCCAGGGCTCCCAGGGCATCGGGCGGAAGCAGGGCTCCAGCTGAGGCCACGTCCTTGCATGGCTCCTTCCCCAGCCCTGGCCTGCCTCCCTCACCCCCTTCTCCTGACGCTCAGGCGCTGCTTCCAGAAACCCAACCTAAGAAGGGACAAGACTCGAGGCAGAATCTTGTTCGGAGGGAGGGAAATAGCTGGGATTAAGGCAGTGATGGTTGAGCTGAAGCAGGAGAGGGAAAATAGCTTCAAGAATTCCTGGGTTTTTTGGGGCTGGCCCGGTGGCGCACTGCTACAGTGCGCCGCTTGGGAAGCGCGGCGGCCCTCCCGCCGAGGGTTCAGATCCCACATACAGACCGGCCGCTCACTGGCTGAGCGAGATGCGGGAGCAACACCGAGGGTTGCGATCCCGTTGCCGGTCCCGGTCCGGTGCGGGAGCGACACTGAGGGTTGCGATCTGTTGCCGGTCACGAAAAAAGACAAAAAGGGAAAAAAAAAAAAAAAAGAATTCCTGATTCCTGGGTTTTTTTTCACTCCAGCCTCCAACTCAGCCCTGGGATACCCTCTTTTGAGCCCTCGCTACCTGTGCTGTGACGATTTATCAAGGACCCTCTCTCCCTGATGGTCATGCTCTCTCCAAGGGTAGACAACACTTCCTGTTTATTATTTCTGGGTACCCAGCTCAGGAACGGATTTTGAGCTAAAATCTGAGGAAGTTTTTGTGGAGTGCTAGTCTGCATACTATGGAGAGTCTGGTTAGGTCAAGGTCATCCTCATAGGCCCTTGGGGTCTTTTAAGGGCATCTCCTGATGGATCATATCTTCCCTGTGATTATTTGAAAGAAAAACAAAAAGACAACCCAAGAAAGGACACTAATTCTTCACCATGCTTGGCTGGCTGTGATTTCACAAGGCTTCCCTGTGCAGGGTCTGGGTCTCAAGATGGGCCACATGTCCCCAGTCATTCATCCCATGCCCAGACACTCACCACGGAGGTGGTCGATGAGATCAGTGCCCCACCCAGACCCTCTTCATTGGGTTGTGCACCCAGGCCTCAGCTGTAGGGACTGTTGGCTGCTCGTGCCTCAACCCTAGTCCCCTTTTCTGGAGACATGCTCTCAGCTGACTAACTTACCCATTCCCCCAGTGGCTTGTCTGCAGTTGGTGGACTGATTGATATGGGAGCACAAAAATCTGCTTCCTTGCCTCAAGGTGGATGACTCTGTGACTTGGTCTGTGCTCTCGAGGTACCCTGTGGATCAGGCCTAGGCTAGGCTTGACTTTGTCCTTGCTCACTCCTCCCCTTTCCCTCTCCTGCTTCCCTCTCTCATGAATTTGTCCTGAGAATGCTCCCTTGATACACCACAGGCATCTGAATCCTTGCCTCAGGCTCTGCTTCTAAGGAACCTGACTTAAGACAACCCCTAAGTGCCAGTTGTTTTCCCTCCTCTTAGTGGAGGGAGCCCAGGTGCTTCCTGACCTCTTCAGACTCAGGTGAAAAAGATTCTGAGCCTTAGGAGCAAGGGGGTTGGAGAAGGAGCTGCCTGAAGCAGACATTGTGTCCTCCTGCACCACACAGTGCATGCGGGAATGGCACTGTGTGCATTCTGTGCTCCAGTCTGCACAGTAGCCTGCTTTGGCCCTCGCAAGGACTTGTTCAACCTCCAAGGGCACAGCTCTCAAAGCATTTAAGCCCCTAGTGCTTCTGCATCCTTAGGCCGTTGGCCACAGGGCCCATCAAAGCAGTGGCTTTTAGAAAATGGCAACTATGGTGTAGTGGAAGGGACAGTAGGCTTCAGGGCCAAGGTGTGAATCCTGATTCTACCACCCTGCAGCTGGGCAACCTTGAACAACTACCTGAAACTCTCTGCATCTCAGTTTTTTCATCTGTAAAATGGAGATAATATCAGTACCTACCTCATAGGCTGCTGGGAGGATTAAATGAGTTAATCTATGCAAAGCACTTAGAAATGCACCTGGTTTAGTAAGTGCTCAGTAAATGTTAGCTGTCATTTCCATCCTTTGCACATTCCTTTGTGGCTCTTATCACAATGTGCCATTGTTCCACTGATGTGTCTTCTGAATTGTTGTCTTTCCCACTAGGTGTGGGATTTATTGTAGTAGGATCTATGTCTGACTTCATTACAGATCTGTCCCTGGTGCCAAGTGTGCGGCTGGGCACAGAGCCTCAGTCACCATGTGTTCAGAATGAACAAACGAGCCGGCATGCCCAGTGGACAGGCTGCCCACAGTCACAGGGACACTTACCTTCTGGACTGTGAAGGTGCGGATGACATATTCTGCCAGGGGCTCTGTTTCAATCAATGTGACTTTAATGTCTCCATAGACCTCTGTGTCATCCGGCCAGTATCGCACACATTTCACCTGTGGCCAAGTGAGAGACAGAGAAAGGACAGAGACGAGGACGTATGATCAGGTGGCTGGTTGTGAGCAGCCACCTCACCTGGCCTTCCCATACAAATAAACCCCAGGGTGACTTCAGTGGCATTTCAGTCCACGGGGTTCTCAGCTGGCCTGGGATCGGCAAACTGCACAGGGCCAAGCTCACTCTCAGAGGCAATGGAGCCATTAGAAATAATAGTAGTATCTTCTTTTGCAAAGCTCTGTATAATTTTCAAATGCGTTATTACACTAAGTGGTCATTAGAACTAGGTGAGACGGGCAGGTGTTATTATCCCCATTTTGCAGATGAACATAATACTTAAGCTTGGAGGTTTGGTGGCATGTCCAAGGTCACGTGGACAGTTTTCTACCTTTGGCTGAGACCCCTTTCTGCTATATTGGGCTGGTGCAGCGGAGTGTTATCAGCTGAGCAGAGAAGAGAATAAAAGGTGGGAAATAGGGAGAAAGCAGAAGCAGAAATGGTCGGGAGAGGGACATTATTAAGAGGTGGTAATTGGGGGCTGGAAGGAAAGATCTCTTGGTTGGGAAAAGGATGGCAGGTGCTGGGCTCCGAGGGAAGACTCTGCAACTCCTCTCTGCCCCTGGCAGTAGGTACAGATGCTACCAACAAGCCATTCCCACATGCGACTCTCTAAGTCACACTCCGCGGAGGAAAAAGAGATCATGGTTTTCCCCTTAAAAGAACAAAAGCATTATTACCATTCCGGGGGACGCCGCACGGCCTACAGTGGCATTTCCCACAGTGTGTTCCGCTGGGTGCTATTAGGTGTTAGGTAAAAAACAAGAAACAAAAAAAACAAACAAGAAAAGGTTTTGTGGTCAAATGAGTTTGGGAAATGCTGGATTAAACAAAGTTAAACAGGCCGCTTTGCTACGGGTCTCCTCAGCTCTTTTAACGTGCTAATGCTAATGCGTTTCATGACTTTCCGAAATGGGGATACCAGACACAGCATTTCCCAAACGTATTTAACCATGGAACCCTCTTCTCACTAAGCATCCTGTAGACTAGCATCCCATGGAACCCACTTAGGGAAACACTGATATAGTGCAACAGGGTTTGGAGGCAAATGGATTCACTGCTTGATTCTAACACTCAGTAGCTGTGCAGCTTCCAGAAAGTGCTGAAACCTCTCTGAACCTCACTTTCTATTAATTATGATAGCTAACACTTACTGACTGCTTACTTACTATGTCTAACACTGCTTACTAAGTGTTCTACAAATACCTTACATGTATTATTTTAATTACTCATCACCACATTCTTATGAAGGAGATATTATTATTACCCCCATTTTACAGATGAGGAATCTGAAGCACAGGAAGGCTAAGGAAATCACCCAAAGTCAACTGTTAGGAAGGGATGGAGCCAGGATGCAAACCCAGGCTGTCTGAGTAATAACCAGGAACATCAGCTCGTACAATTGTTGTGAGATACATGGAGGTAAAGTGCAATAAGGGTTGGGCACAGTGCTTGGCGACTGGCAGGAGTTCCTGCAAGAGTTTGCTGTCCCCAAATCCCACTTAGATCCGTGGTCTAGCCATCAGGTGGATCTGTTTCCAGTGTGGGATATGTTATAGGACAGGATGGAATTTGCCTCTGAATCCTCGAATCCTGGGCAGGCCTTTTGCGCACAGTGGCTGCCCTCTGGCCTGAGTCCCTGGGGAGCAGTCTGATCGGAGGGACCATGCGCATGAGAACAAGAATCAAGAGTTGGATTGTGCCTGGGTTCTGGCTGCGTGACTTCAGGGTAGTTACTCCACCCTTTTGGTTCTGTTCCCTCATCTATAAAACTGGGGAATGGATTAGGTACGAGTGGACTCAAGAATAAGGTCTCTCCTAGCCCTAAATTCCTAATAGGCCATGAGATGTCCACACCCCCTTCCTGGATTCTGACAGCCCAGATGTCCCTTTTCCCTTGGTCTTCTAGGCCAAGACTCTGTCTTTATGGATTACCTAGTTCTTGCCAAAACAAAAACATACCTGCCCACTCTTTAGTTAGTTCGTATGATGTGTTAGTTTGTATGGCATTTGTACACCCTGTCTTTAACCTCAGCAGCCCACCCACCCACAGGCCACAGTTAATCACACAGGCAAAGCAAGCTGGGAATAGCAGTCCCATTTCTAAGCCCAAGGAGTAGTTAAGGATGAGAGTTAAGTAGAGAGAGTCGACATAGAGCAGAGAGGGAGACTGAGCCCTGACCTTGAAGAATGTCCAGAGTTAGAGGTCAGGGGAGGAAGAACAGGCAGCAGAGGGTCAGATGCTCCTGAAAGGTTAGCTGTGTCAACATGAAGGGTGTGAGTGACGTTGACAATATCACTGAGGGTGGGATGGCGGGAGTAGCTGCGTTGGAATGGGTAGAAGAGAACAGAGGGAAGAAACAGAGCCTTTGTGTGAGTCTTTAAAGTTTGGCAGAAAAGTGGGGCCAAGAGTATGATTTTTATTTGCTGGTTTTATCTTTTAAGATGGAAGGTACCCAGCAGATTTGTATGCCGAGGGGGACAATCTAGTAACAAAAAAGAGACTTATTTTTCAAGTGTGAGGGGGAAATGAGAAAATTGTTGGGCAGAATCTGTGGCTCAAGACACCAGGCTCACCTTTGAAAGGGCACAGACACGGCTTCTGTCATATTAGGCTGAGCCATAAGAAACAGCCAATATTCGACTATTTTGGGTTAACAAAAATAGCCATTTCTTATGGTTGAGCATGAGAGCAAAGGGAAAGAATGATAGATGGTTGTAGATACAAGTAGGATTGTAGCTTCCCAATGTGACGATGAGGGAGTTCACATCTGATGGCTTTAATTTCCTGAAAATATATGAGATGAGGTCATCCACGGAGAGCGAGGGTGGAAAAAGGGATGAGGGGGATTTGAAGGGAAAGGATGCTGCTCGAATGTGGAATAGGAGCGATGATGTCTCCCTCACTGGTTGCCAGGAGGGTGATGTATGGACTAGGAGTCACCTGCACAATGCATGGAGCAGAGAGATGCTTGAGAGCACCTCCAGCATCCTCTGCCCAGGAACCTGCAGGAGAGGCTTACCCTGCCCACTTCCACGAGGTTCGTGACCATGACAATGCTGGCAGAGTTCTCCTGCCAGATCATCCTCCAGAAGTCCTTTACCGTCTCCTGCATTGGACCTGCCAACAGAGAAGGTGATAGGGTTGAGACTGTAATGCAAGAAGGCAGCCGAGAGGTTTGCCCCTCCTGGTTGGTTAGTCAAGACTCCACAGAGGTGAGCAGGAGTGAGTCCAGGTGATCCTTGCTAGGACACTGCTAGGGGTTGAACTGTATCCCCCAAAGTTTCATGCATTAATCCTCACTGTAACAGTGTCAAGAGTGAGAAATCCTATTATAGTAATTGAAAGGTGGGGCTTTGAAGAAATGATTAGATTGTGAGGACCATGCCCTAGTGAATAGATTGATCCATTCATGGAGTAATAAGTTGTTGGTTTAATAGGCGGCAATGGGCGTGGTTCTGATGGCTTTATAAGGAGAGCGAGTGAGCAGGTTAGCTTGCTCTTGCTCAGCCATTTCACCACATAACACCCTACCCTGCATTGTTGTGAGGAGTCACCACCTACCAACAAGGCCCTCACCAGACGTGTTCCCTGGAGTTTGGACTTCCCAGTCTCTGAAACCGTAAGGAATACATCTTATTTCTTTGTAAATTACTCATTTTCAGGTATTTTGTTATACGCAGCAGAGATGGACTAACATAGAAACCAAGTAGCTAAGACCTGGGCCTGAGGCATGTTGGCCTGATGAGGCCAGATCACAGCATGGATGGGAAAAGCCACATTCCAGGCTTTCATGGTCTGAAGCATCTTATGGAAATGTTGACAGTCTCCCCTCCTCTTGTCTGATGTCCTACTGTTCGGACCCTCACTACCTGTCCCACCCATCACCTTATTTGGGGTGTGGCCTAAGGCACTTTTTAAAAATTGAGCTCCAGAACCTCAGTGAAAGACAGTAAAAAAATTGGGGTAGAGAGCTGCCGAGAGCCAGATGCCAAGAACAAAAACAGGAGGTGCCCTATTTTGAACTTGACAAATGCCAACGCGTTAGTCTGGAGCCCCAACAGAAAAGAAGAGGGAAAAAAGACAAGGAGTGGGAGGTAGGATCTGACAGTCCAAAGCAATTTCCTTGGAAATTGCTCTTTTTCAATGTCCTGGACCTTCATCATTTTAAAAATTACAAAATAATACATGTGTTTGACATAAAAGTTTGAATACCTTTTTTCTGTATTTATCTGTATCTGTATGTATTCATTGCATAAGCATCATATCTACTATACGTATTCTCTGATGCCCTTAAAAATTCCTACCAAGCATGATATTTTTCATAGCTGCATAGTTTTCTGTAATATGGAGGCACCACACTTTATTTAACCAATCTACCAATTGTTGGGCATTAAAAAATTTTCGCTTTTTTCCTATTATAGATAACCCTGTGAACAATGTTTTTATATATGTCATTGTACACGTGTGTAATTATCTGTAGGATTTCTTCCTAGAAGGGTTTGAAAGGTAATGATCATTTTTAAGTGTTCTGATAACGTACTGCCAGGTTTCTTTCTAAGGCAGCTGGCTGCATCTCTCTTACAGGCATGCATGCATCGAGTAGGTAAGACACCATCAGCTCCAGATGGCACCTGCCTGAGGCTGATACTTTTAGCTGCCTTGCATGGGGTCCTCCCTTCTGATTACTTCCTAGTGATAGCTCTTTCCTCTCTTGCTCATGCCCCTCACTCCTATATCTGAATGTATCACCTTCTTCCTTTCCAAACAAATAAATGAACAATTTCAAGGACTTCTGGAGGCTCTCCAGCCCTACCCCTCTTTGCTGATAGAAAAGGGCCAGGGCCCTTTAGAGCAAAGGAGTATTGAGGTAACAGATACTGGAGGAGAGGACAAGAAGTCTTGCAGTTGTTCCCTAGACAGCCCTCTTCCCTGGGGTCCTTGAGGTCTCTCCGGGGCACCAGGTGGATGGAGGGCACTTACCTTGAGTGGCAATGTAGTGCCGAGGTCGATGGTATCCCTGGATAAAAGGAGAAAGCACAGTGAATGATCTCCAGTCAAAGCTTGCAAACATCACAGTATTAATAAATATCCTCTCCAAGCCTTGGTTTCTTCATAGGCAAAATGGGAATAGCATTAGCTAATTCCCTGAGGAGTGGTAAAGATTAAATAAGATGACACATGCAAAGCACTTAGTAAGTCGCTAAATGTTAGCTACTATTATAGTTATTTGTGAAGTGCTTATGCAGGCTTCCTTGGAGACAGGGGCACCGGGAGCAAGAATTGGTGGGCATCATTTATGCTCATGCACTTACAAAGAGGTGGAGAAGTTTTCAGGTTTATGGGGACATCAAACACCCAAAGTCTTTCCTGAGCCATGATTATATGCAGAACACTGTATGAGGCCTGGTGCGGCACCCAGAGAAGTTAACAGAAGAAAACGATTCTACTGTTGACTCCTTGCAATATTAACAACTGGAAAAAGAAAACTGGGAAGGATTCCACATTGTTTCTCTGTGCCAACATGACTGGGCTTGGAACTGAAGTTACAGGTGCAGAGAGGACCTCATGGAGGTGTGATTTGAGAGACCCAAAAAGCCATTTGCTGACTCAAAGACCAGTTTCTAATTTACCTGTACATCTCTGAATACACTGATAGGCCCTGGTGTACTTTGGTGCTGGATTACTCTGGAGACCCATAACCCTAATCACTGGGGAGGCCCTGGTGTACTTTGGTGCTGGATTACTCTGGAGACCCATAACCCTAATCACTGGGGAAGAGGTTGAAGGTGATCCTCTCTTTTGCCTGGGCATGGCAAACAAGGACGGTCCCCTTTCTTGTTACAGAGAGGTAATATGTCATATTGAGTAGGAGTGTAGGTTTTGGAGACACAGACAGATCTGCATTGAGTATAGAACATTGAAGGCAATTAGTATTTATTGAATGGATAAATGAGTGAATGAAAGAATGGATGAATAAATGAATAACTTTTATATTAAAACACAAATGCCAATTATAGAGCCTATTGATGGAGAGGTTGTTGACCATCCTGAAATCCACTTTACCTCTACCATCCTAAAGCTGGATGAATACCTGTTTTTTGTCTTAAGCATTGTTGTCTAGTCTTTCTGTCCTGTCGAGGTGAACGCACTGCCTCAAAGCCTCCTTCTTTAGGAAATAAGTTGAAATTGCCATCAGTATGGTTTATGGTCCAATAGATATGGCCTCTCTGAAGTTCTGTACCCACTTACTGATTCAAAGAATATTTTCTGAGTCCCCTCAACATTTCTCTTCCTAAGTCTTCCACTTGCTCAATAAATATTTAATAAGTACCTTCCAACTGCTGGGCATACTCTAGACTTGACTGTAAGCACCAACCCAAGGCCAATGTCATGACCAGAACTGTTGGATTAACCACATAGCAATCGACAGCCCCACCTAAACTCTTTGCATGAGTGGTTCTATCTACTTAATGAGGTTGTCAGCTTGTTAAGGACAAGACCTGCCTCGTAAATAAAAAAAAAAAAAAAAAAAAATTCCGCACAGAGCCTAGCACAGCGTGAGACTCAGAGCAAAGGCCTAAACAGGATGTTGACAAACCATCACAAAAGGCAGCACGGCGTGGTGGTTACGTGTACTGTGGACTCTGGATTCCAACCGCCTGGGTTTGAAAACCCACACAGTCCCCAAAGAGAAAACGTTCTAACCATGGGACTCCTCAGCAAGGAGATAAAAGGAAATGTACTGCTCAATTGGGGCTTCTCTGGGGATTCGCCAAGAGCTAGTACAGAAAACTTCCTAACCTTAAAAGAACTTTGAGTTCATTTAAGTCCCACCTACACAGCACGCAGATCGACTGCAAACCAGCACTGGGCCTGCCTCCATCTGTCTGTGAGCATTGGGAAAGCTTTGCATCCAAACACATTTATCTCACTCTGCACTCATGCGTCTGCTGCTTACTGAGGACCCAGATACGATACTTATTTCCAGGCTGGTATTTATAACATTCAAGTGGCCAATACATTTTTGGGTGTGCAAACTTGCTAGCAGGTTGGTTTAGAAGGTAGCAGACCACGGCCTCCAGAGGCACAGCCAGGGCTGGTTCTATCCAGCTCATGATCCCAATAGGGTCATTTTAATAGTTTCACAAGCTCCAATTGTGGAGAAATCATTCTAGCGCAGATGATTTGCTCTTTGGAAAGCCAGAGAGGATGCTGGCTGGGGTGGGGACCAGGGCAAAGGAGTGAGGACCCAGCTAGCTGTCTGGGGTGTCATCTTGTCAGGAATCCCCTAGAGGAATTTAAAGTCTGCTGGAGTATACAGTAGGTTCACAATTAATGGGCTTCCTCCACTCTTCACCCCAGAGCACTAACACTGTGCAAGGAAGCGCTGTGGTCGGTGTCTTCTCTGTGTCTCTTCATTTCCCTTCCACGCTCTGCTCTGTGCCATGGGAAACTGACCTGCAGGACCACACCGTGAGCTCCCATGCTCTCTTGCTTCTTGTTGGGTTTTGTCAACGGGGAGTGGAAGCAGGAGTTCAGAGGCCAGGAAGAGGATGGACATACATTCTTCTGGGCCTTTCCCTGCCAGGTCATCATGGATTGGTCTTGTCTTGTCTCTCTATCAAGGGCTCTAGCTCCTATCAGACAGCCTCTCCTTGTAGCTACTCTCTCGCCCTGTCTAGGCCTAGGAATGGTAAGAGCTCCTTGCTGTTACTAGCCCTGAGATATTACACCCTACCCTGTTGGTTTCCCTTCATCCTGTCCACATCCTTTTTAAACTTTCCCTGGTTACTTTAAATCAGTTATCACATACTTGTGGGGTGGCATTATTATCCCATTTTATAGATATTAGAATCAGTAGTAATTTACCCAAAATCACAACCCTAGTAGTCAGAAAGTCCTGGATTCAACAGGCCCAACAAAGACTGAATTCATGACTCTAGTCTCATTAGCCCTTGATTGTGACCACTGAGATACAGTCCAGAGTTCAACATCCCATATTAAGGCAGCATGGAGGAGAGGCATTTGGCCTGTCTGCACAATCTGCTTCTTACAGGGAGAGGAGATAGTGGAGTGTCCTAGGTGGGCAGAGAACTGGATTCTAGCTGTGTGGCCTTGGTCAATGCTCTTAACCTTGACCCCTAGTTTCCTGTCTTTAAAGGCTAGCAAAATGCCTTGTAATGATAGAACATGATAGAATAAGAGGAATTATTAGTATTGGTGATGCAGGTATTCACTTGCATTTAAAGTAATTTCATTCATTGCCTATAAAAATACCAACGTGTTTTTTGGCTCTGACTGTAGTTAGATGTCTAGTTGACTTTGGATTGAGTGCCTATCTAGGACAGTCATGTTTGCTGGGGGTTTCTACTCAGATGACAAGTGCTTGCTACAGCAACTCAGGCATGCAAGACCCTCTGTGGGCTGCGCCATTCTGGGTCACATCCACCCAGCCATAGACGAGGTGGAGGAGACACGGAAAGAATCAATTCAACCTGGATCAACATGTGCTGACTGAGTCCCCACTGTGTGCTGGCCACAAGGTGGTGACCCAGAGTGGGTGGGAGGAGCAGGAGAAAGAGCACTGGACTAGGAGTCATTCAGGTCTGGTTTCTATCCTGGTTCTGCTGCAGACCAGCTGCATGGCTTTGGACAAGCTTTGCAATCTCTCTAAACCTCGGCTCCCCCATCTGGAGAATGGGAGTGTTAACACCCACTTTGAAGGATTACTTAAAAAGTAGTGATAAGTGACTCATTTAAGCCCTGTGCATAGGGCCCAAGAGTGACTCACTAAGCCACTGCTGCTGTCATTGCTGTTACTATGAAAGGAGCAGGATATAGTGGGGAAGGCACTCTTGAGTCAAACTCCTGTTCCCTCCTCTCCACCTCCTAGCTGTGTAGCCCTGGACAAGTTACATAACCTTCAGGGCCTCAGCTTACTCATGTGGAAATGGGTAGTAATGGCACTTGCCTTGTGAGGTTATGGTACCAGTGAAGGTGATGTTGGTACAGGAGAGAGAGGTCATCAATAGTTTTTAGGTTACTATAAATCCTTCTTGCTCGGCTGGCTCTTAGTCATCCTCTAAGGCAGGACTGAGATGTCACCTCCTCCAGGAAGCCTTCACTGACCACCCCACCCCTGCCTTGAGGCTTTGATTTTCCTTTATGGTCCTATAGCACCTGATCTGTGAGGGTGTCTTTTCTTATCTGACTGCCTCACCAGACTTGAATCTCCTTAGGTCAGAGACCTGCTCTTACAGGTCAGTGTTTCCAGTACATGGTGTTTCCAGCTCAGTGTTTGTGAAATGAATACTAGATGCATGAGGGGAAGGCTGAGAGCCTGAGGGTGAATGCCTTGTGCACCTTGCTCTGGGCTGGACACAAGCTATTTGGAACTGGCCCTCTCCTTGTGGACTTGCCCAGAAGGGCCATAGTGGCAGAGACTGTGTCCTTCTTCACCTCCACTGAAGCTCCAGCCCCATTTCTTCACCACACAGTAGGTCCTTTGTTAGCCAGGGAAATAGAAACCACTCTAGGTGTTTCAGACAGAGGAAATTCAGTATGGGGAGTTGGTTACACAGGTGATAGAGGAGCCAAGGTGACAAATGGGGAACAGTGGGGCAACCCAGAGATCGGTGGCAGCACCTTTAGAACTAGGGGGATAATGGGAGACAGAGTAGTTCCCAGACCCCAGGAGCTGGTCTGCCTGGCAGAAGCTGGAACTATGATGGGCCTGATTGAGGGAAGCTGGAGTCACAGATGGATGCAGCCACTGCTGGAGCTGCCACCCAAGGAAGGGGGGAAGGAGAAACTCACTGGATGCACCCTTCCTATCACCTCTGATCTCCCATCAGTGCCTGCCATTGAAGAAGTCAGATCTCCTTACCCTGCACACCACACATGCATACACACGCCACCTGCAATGCAAAGCAGCACAGGGAAGGATGAGGAATAGATCTGAGGGCAAACAGGCAAATGACCAACACAAGGCTCAGTAAATACATGTTGAGTTAATGAGTCTTCTGGCTCAGCCTAGGTTAAGGGGAATTCACAAAGCATGCCACTGCAATTTATAGGTTGACTATAAATACATTAGGGAGTCTGAGGAACCAACATGGATCTCTGAGCTACTCTTAAAGCTGAGCTCTGAGCTGAGGTCCTGAGATGCCTGGCTTGGATCAGTCACATCGGGATGTCAGTCTGGCCTCACTGGTCATGTTCCAGTTTTGCAAACTCTCCCACTTCCATGCACACCATCCTGGCTCCTGTTTGGGTTTAGTCCCTTCCTCAGTGGTCTCTGGAACACTAAGACAGCCTCTTTCCTAATTAGGTCTCTTAATTCCAGAATCCCTTCTCTCTTATCTATTTTATCCTTGGTAACAGATAAATCATCCCAAAGCCCAGTCCTGAACTGGTCACCTACTTGATCAAAAACCTTCACTGACTTCCTCTTCCCTACAGGGTAAAGTCCAACTTCCTGAGTATGACCATCTAAGCCATCAGTGTTCTAGTGTCAACCTTATTTTCCACTGTTCTCTTCATGGTCTCTGCTGCCCTCGAATGCTACATGTTCCCTTTCCAGCTGCTACATCTTGGCTTGTGCTGTTCTCTCTAACCAGAGACCTATCTTCCCTCTCTTTGATTTTAAATTCTGCCTGCGCTGAAAGCCTTGGTTCACCTCACATTTTGCATTCCCGATGGAAGAAGCGATATTTTTTTTCCCACCTCTGAATCCCTGCAGCATTTTATCTGAACTTATGACACTTACCACTTTCTAGTTGCCCTGGAATTATTGATGTGCACAACTTATCTCACTTCTAAGGTTTTAGAAACCATGGCATTTTTAGCTTTATGGTTCCCGTAGCATCTAGCATACTGTAGGTACTTTTAAATGTTTATTGAATAGATGTCTGTGTCTTCCAATGAATGAATGCATGGATAAACAGACACATATACAAATGGATAGACAGAGTGAGTGAAGAAGACTGGCCGTTGCCCTGGGGCCCCACAGAGTAGGCTATTCCAGCTGTCATGAAAGATGATGTAGCTTTAGATGGATAATCAAAGCTAGTTGGGATACACTAGTTACGTAAATTGGGGAGGAGCTGGCCACAGGTCTTGAGCTTGTGTAGCCAACCCCAGACCTTGGCTGCCTAGCCCCATCAAGACACTCACGTCAATGTAGTTGGCGTTGATGTAGTCAGAGTGTGGGTCTCCATCCAGCACCAGCAGCCTCACCCGGGAATGGTCATCTGCAGAGAGAGCAGAAAACAAGAGAGGGTTGACAAGAGGCCTTGGGTGAGGAGTCAGCAATGCCCTCCTTTGCAGCTCCCATTTGTTAGTTACTGCATGTCAGATATGGTGCTACTCTCTCATTTACTCCTCAGCACCACTCGCAGTTATTATTCTCATTTACAGATGAAAAAGTGGAGGCTCAGGGAGGTTATTAGCCTTAAAAAAGGACCTGTCCTGTCTTCTCCACCTTCCGTTCTCATTCTGGTTTTGTCATTACCTAACTGGGTGAGTCATCTGTTTCTTTAAGACTTAGTGATTTCATCATTAAAATGGGGATGGAAATGCCTTCTTCACAGGACAATGCAAGAGATGCGAAAAAACTCGGGACGTGAGAGTATTGAATCGGAATTAATATGCTCCATTTTCATGCTTGCTTAAAAATGGCAAGTTTACCTATTCTCCACATGTGCACAAATTGCTTTTCTGTTGCCTCTTAGAGTATTGTTGCAAATAGATTGCCAGCCACATATTGTTATCAATACTATCATTAAAGCGAGGCTCACTAAACACTATAAAAAAGGTCACCAATAACTAAAAATTGTGTTACAGAGGATACCTTTCCAAACACAATCCAGGCATAAACAAGATTTGCAGGCTTTAGTCAATGGCACACTTACTTCAAATAACACCAAATAAAAACCATTAAAAAAACTAGTACAGCAGAAGAATTAGGATAATCCTTTACAATTAATTAAAGTGAGCTCTGACATGCATGCTAACAGACACGCGCAAATTGAGCATCCTGGTTGGGAGGAGAGCCTTAGTTTGCTATCCAGGTTACTGCGCACATAGCGTTGTGTAGTTGCTGCATCCACTGGCCAGTCCGCCTTACTCTAGGGTAGAGGTGGTATTCCTAGAAAGTGGGTGGGACAGCTTTGGACATCCTCAAGGGTTCTCAGGGAGTCAAGAAGATCAGCTCAGCTTATCCTATTAGACTTATACAGCACTCTGCAGTTTCTAAAGCACATTTATTGCTACTAACCCAAAGCTTTGAGAACAGGGACGTTATCTGTCATGTTACCTGTTTTGTCTCTTGCCCCCCTGAAAAGGCCTGGTATATGGCAAGTATTCAGCAAGTACCTTGAGAATGTACAAGTGGATGATGCCATGGGATTTTCACAACAATCCTTTGAGAGAAGCCAGATGGGTTCTGTTAGCCTTGTTACAAATGAGGAAACTGAGGCTCACAAAGACTGACTGGCCACCTGGCCAGTGAATGGTGGAGCACAGAAGAGTGAGGTTCTCTTTACTCTGAGTTCAGATGCTCCTGCTTCCAAAGAGGGGTCTAAGCAAGATGTTAGAAACCACTTCAACTATATACAGCAGAGGGATTAACTACTGAGAAGTGGTTGCCTGGGCGATGGAAGAGTTGAGAGTCCAGAGAGAGGAGAATGAAGTAAGTCAGAGATAAGCAACGACAAGGAGAAACTGCCCCCCTAGGGCTGAGGGACAGAGGGAGGACATGGCGTTACTAGAGCTCAGGAACGGGGGCCACCTGGTAGAAACTGGAGTCACAGTGGGCTTCTCTGGTGGGAGCTGGAGACAAGGAGGAGCTTCCCTCTCTCCTCCTGTGATTGGGATAGAGGGGGAGAAATATCCTGGCTTCTCCCTTTCTCCTTCTCTCCAATCTCCCACCACTGCATGTTATTGTCCAAACCCAGCCAGAAGCCAGCTCACAAGAGAGCCTGAGAACTGCCACCTGCAGGGGTCAGTTGTCAGTGATACAGAGTAGAGTAGGAGAAGGTGAGGAATGGGTCCAATTATGGACAAACGGACCAGGACTGGTACAGGACACCACCCTATATCTGTTAATTAACTCACAAAGTATTCACTGAGTGTCTGCCATGTGGCAGGCACTATCCAGACGTCAGTTATACTGGATGCCGCGTTTCCTACTCATCACGGGGATTTCAGTGGAAGCAACTGGAGGGAGCAGGTGGGAGATCTAAGTAATTGCTTTGGGTGGGTGGGGGAGTGGCATGTGAGGTGGGGGGGTGGAGTTTGAAGTTAATCTTTATTGAGTTCATGATAGGTACCAGAGACTTTACATACATTAACTTACTCAATCATTTATTCCTCAAAATAGTTCTATAGGTTATTATAATAATAGCAGAATGATGTGATATTATGATTGTTCCTATTTCACAGATATACTGGGCTCAAAGAGGTTAAGCAAATTTTCCCAGTTACACAGCCTGTAAGTGACAGAGATAGGATTCTATCTCAGGTCCATCTGACCTTGAACCCCCTCCGGGCATACAATGCACTGCCTTGGGACTTCAAGTATCTCACAGGTACTACTGATAGGGTCTGTGCAAATGTTGGTCCCCAGCTCCTGCAGCATTCTAGTCCCAGAGAGGGGGACTTCCTGGCGGACAACCCGTCTAGCAGGCTGGGATTCATATGATGCCTGGTGCCTGACTCTGAGCCCAGTGCATCGAGCCTTGTTACCAGCAGTTAGAGAAACTGTAAGTCTCAAAACAGTGAAAATGAATATTGCATTTGTACTCAGTGGTCTTACTAATGACTAATCGATCCAAAAATCTCCTTTACTTATTGAGTTATGTCTGCTCCTGGGGTCCATAGCACTGGAAACAGATTGTGGTTTAAAAAGTTGAAAGGGACTTTTTAAAAAATATGAAAGGAAACTTTAAAATCTGAAAGCAAAATGATTAAAAATAAAACAAAAAGAAACTTATTTCTCCTACTCAAATATTCTTATAGATGAGAAGTGTTTCTAACTACCAGATAAGAACTCATTTACTGAGCATCTACTATGAGTCAGGCTAGTAGAAGGGACAAAGAAAGTGTTATCAAATGTGATACTCATGCTTAAGGAATTTGCCAGTTTAGTGGGGAAGACAGACTCTACATAGAGGTGCAACTTCAAGGTCTAGAAAGTGGGGAATAGAGAGCTCTGTGTAGTGATATGTGAATGAGAAATTAAAAGTGAGTCAGACTTGACCAGTGGAGAGTGAGGAAGAGTCTTTTCCATTAGAGGGAACAGTGAGAGTGAAGGCAGTGATCCTGAAAGAGCGAGCACATTGAGGGAGCTGCAAAGAGGCTCCTGTTCTGGGAACACAGAGTGCGAGGGCATAGCAATGGGACAGCAGACAGAAGGGTCGGCGAGGGTTAGATCACAGAGGACGCTCCAAGCCATATTAAGGCACTGAGATACAGATAACCATGCGGGGCTCTGCAGGGCATCCAAAAACAGTGTCTCTTTTCTGGAATCATAAACGGGTATTTTAGTACTAAAAAACACATGGGCTAACCTGTGGCAAGTGGGATACACTTTTGATATGTGATGTGAGGTGTGGAGCTGTGGATCAGGTTTGGGTTCAGATTTTAAATCCATCACTTAGCAAGTCAGTTGATCTCTCTTAGCCTTGGCTTCCTGAGCAAAATGGAGCCAATAGTGTTGGGCATAACTTTGCGTGCATGCGCCCTGACGCGCACGGGCGCCAGTTCATGCGCTCCGCGGCCACCATTTCACTAGCGCTCAACGGCACGTAGCTGCCAGCCTCGCCCTTCCGGGTCCCAGTGATTCAGCAACTTTAGTTCCGTATTC